GACTGCTTGTCAAATGTGAAGTTTTCTTATGAGATAGTGGTGGTGACAAGTGTTCTAGCAAGACGAAGTACATTTCACATTGGACGTTTGTTTTGTTATAATACAGAGTACCATTGTTGATGGTTGAGTGTGATTAGTTTAATGTACAGAAGTTTGAGAAGTATTATGTTGGGTGTTGTGGTGTGCCACTGATTATTTGGTCGTAACATGAGGAGTTTGTTTATTTTATTTTGGATGGATTGAACAACAAACATGACATGACAGATGTAAGTTATTGCTTTTGGAAAGAGACATGACTGTTTGACAGGACATAAACTATGACAAAATGGTTTTGTGGGTTGTCTTTTCCCTTGAGACTGTGATGCGATAATATAGGTGGGTTTTTGTTTTCCCATGAGACCCGAACCAGGTGTTGGTTCCTTGAACCACCCTGGGTTCCTTGGGTGTAAACCTTGAGATCGCAATTGCAGTAAAATAGGGATGAAGCCTTGAGATTGTGATTGTGATAATTAGGGAGTTGCTGTGCGTAAAGCACTAGTGACCCTCGAGCGTGAGATCGCAATTACAGTAATATAGGCTGGTGTATCCTTGAGACTGTATTGTGGTAAAATAGGGTATTGTAACCCTTGAGACCGCAGATGCAGTAATATAGGGTGCTATGTTTGATTGTCCCTTGAGACTGTGTTGTGGTAATATAGGGTGGTGTAACCCTTGAGACCATAGATACAGTAATATAGGGAGGTGTGTTGTTTTGTCCCTTGAGACTGTGTTGTGATAATATAGGGTGGTGTAACCCTTGAGATCATAGATGCAGTAATATAGGGTGGTGTGTCCTTGAGACTGCGTTGTGGTAATATAGGGTGGTGTAGCCCTTGAGACTACAGATGCAGTAAAATAGGGCGCTGTTGTTGGTATTCCCTTGAGACTGGGTTGTGATAATATAGGGTGGTGTAACCCTTGAGATCATAGATGCAGTAATATAGGGTGGTGTGTCCTTGAGACTGTGTTGTGGTAATATAGGGAGGTGTAACCCTTGAGACTACAGATGCAGTAATATAGGGCGCTGTTGTTGGTTTTCCCTTGAGACTGTGTTATGGTAAAATAAGGTAGTGTAACCTTTGAGACCATAGATGCAGTAATATAGGGTGATGATGTGTGGAACTTACAAACATTGACTTGACTATGTGACAAAGTAACCAACTGATGGTCGTGTGCTCTTGTTAAACCTGTGTACCTGTGTTATTTTGGGGTACCTTATGGGGTACCTTACCTTATTTGGTGTCTGTGTTTTGAGATAAAGAACTTTTTGTGTTTTATGAGATGAAACGTTTTTGATTATGACATGGCGGGTAGTCTGATTATTACATGGCAGGTGGTCTAATTTGGCCGGAAGCCTGGCAACTTGGTGGTTAGCCAAGTTGGTACTCCTTTGGTGGGTAGCCAAAAGGAGAGCCTTTATTTGGTAGGTAGCCAATTAAACTCAGCGTTTTCTCTTTAGCTTGGTGGGTAGCCAGCTCTGATGGTTTGGTGGTTAGCCAAACTCTCTCGTTACGCTTGGTGGTTAGCCGACGTAACAACAGTAGTTCTTGTGAACGGAAAAACGTAAACTGCTATCATCATATGGCAATTACGTGCTTCGCGAAGATTGGAAGCTCTGTTGAGATAGTGTGGAAACCGTACTTTGAACAAGTGCGTCATGTCCAAGACGGGCATGCAGACCGATTAGACTGGTCAGTGTGAGAATTTGTCAGTGAGCCTAAACTAGACGTGATCTTACGTGACGTGAAAATATTGAGACTGTTGATTTGGGTACAGTTTTGTTCTTGAACTTTTTGAACTGAGTGGCTTATTGCTTTTGATTGATTTTAATTTCGTTTTGATTATTGTTTTGAGCTTTATCGGTTTGATCTTTACTGATTCGTTACGGGACTGACTTGGTTGGAATCACAGGGATGATTCTTCACAGAGTTGACTTAGTTGAATCACAGGGATGATTCGTGACAGAGATGACTTACTAACGAATGAATCACAGAGACGGTGTGCGTTACAGGGATAACGTACGTAATGTTTCTTTTTAACGACTGACGCTTTTGAATCACAGAGACGATGTGCGTTACATTGGTAACGTACGTAATGTTTCTTTTATGACCAACTTGTTCAACACAAAGAGACGATTTACGTCACAGGGCTGACGTACGCAATGTTTCTTTTATGACTTACCTGTTTGACACAAAGGAACGCTTTACGTCACAGGGCTGATGTAAGTAATGTTTCTTTTATGACCTACTTGTTTGACACAAAGGGACGCTTTACGTCACAGTGCTGATGTAAGTAATGTTTCTTTTATGACTGACTTGTTTGATACGAAGAGACGATTTGCGTCACAGGGCTGACGTTTGTAATGTTTCTTATTGTTATGAATGACTGATATGTTTGACTCAAAGAGACGATTTGCGTCACAGGGCTGACGTACGTAATGTTTCTTTTCTATTATCACTGAGACGTTTGACTCTAGTTTAGTTAGCCACACGGATGATTAGCAAGCTACAGGGATAGCTGGAGGATAGAGACTCGTAGTTGTTTTTACGATGTTGTCTATTTTCAATGTGTAATTGTGCTATAGAGCTTATTGCGGTTGGTTTACTGCAGAGCATTCAATTGTTTCTTGGTTTTGGAGTGAAAGTCGTTTTTGTATTTTATGAAGTGTACACTTGACTTGGCTGTATATTGATGACTGAAAGTGAATCGAGTTTTGATTGAATCAAAAGTACAGTGTATTCCCACTAGTTCATGGTGAATGTTTATGTAGCGTCGATGATTCTCTTGACAGAGAAACATAATTGGCAATCATCATATTGCTGTTATGTGCCTTGCAATGACAGAAAGCTCTGATATGTTAGCAACCATTGTGTTGAAGTACATAGGGATTGTCTTGGGCTAAGTTCAGGTGTAATACGGCCGTTGTCTTCAGATCTATCAGACACCAGATTCAGGATGTCTTGAGGTGAATTGTATGTGGATAGCGAAGCTATTTTGGTTGGGTTCAAGATGGAGAAATGAAGTCACGATTGATGTGTTAGATGTGCCTGCGTGTACATAGTGACAGTGTTGTTGGATCATAATAGTTTTGTTTGATCGGGTTTTGGTGAAACAGATACAGCTGCTTATGTTGAGGTGTAGTTCTTTGGGTGAACGGAGTTGTAGAGGTTGTGATGAGGCAGTTGACATAACTGTGTGTATTGTGATAGAGGCTTTGAGATGTGATTGGCAAACGACATTCTTCGTAGACCGATGACAGCCTTAGCTATCCATACGGTAATGTGAACCTGGTGCTAGGATTTCTGACCGTCTTGCCTTGTTTGCTAGGCATAAGAGACAACTTATTTGGTCATGACATTGATTCTTTACCAATTGTGTGGGTTGATTCTTTTTGCTATGGTCAGAATGGACGAGCGGAATGCAGAGCATAGTTGGATTCTTTTCCTACGCATCAGCCGAGGACGGCTGACTTGTCAGAATGGCCGTGTCGGAGAGCGATCAAATCGTATAGCGCTGGCAACATTCGACATGGCGTTGCGCTTTATTTGCGGACAGTAAGCTATAGACGGTAATATTGACCGGAGTGACAGTAAAGATGTTCTATGGAGGTGTTGTAGTACGTTCTCACTCACAGTTCATTGTTGGCTACGTTTGTGATAATGAAACGGAACTCAGGCAGCGTACTGAGTAAACAACTTTGACAGTTCCAGCTTGGGTGTGGTTTGGATCGTATCGTTCTGAGGTTAGATTCTGAATCCGGTGAAATCTCGGGAATCTTGGGGTCTTTCAAGGATCTGTGGTCTTCAGGCTATGGCGGAGCCCTAGATTCGAAAGGATAGTGGAATATTTGTAAAGATTATGACAGTTCCGGTTAAAGTGTGGTTTAGTCTGTGTCTTTTTTGAGATATCGTTCGTAATCCGATGAAATCACAGGAATCCTGGAGTATTTGGAGGAACCAGGTCATCAGGTGATGGCGGAGCCCTATATTTGTGTGGCCTTTGGAATATTTGTGGAGATCATGAAGTGTGTGTTAATTATTATCGTTTTACCCTCAACAGGTTTGTGAAATGCAGAGATCGTCTGATAATGGTGACTACTGCTGGTGGTGTCCCTCTGCAAGCGTACAGGGCTGCAGGCAGAGGACTTCTACGGTGTTCAGTGTTGATCACCGTCATGATTGGAATCCGATGTGTGGTAAAGACCCGTTAACGTAAGTTGAAGGTTCCAATGTTGGTTTGCTTGAGGCATGGTATGACTGTGGACGGACGGCTTGTCGTACGGTGATACCGTGCCTGACGAGGAATCATATTCCGAAACAAGCACATCGGAGGAGCTGACTACGTGATAGTGAGTATACTGTGGTTTATCATTATAGTGGCAGTGGTTCGAGAATTTGAGATATCATGTGACAATGTAGTATCCTGAAAAGAGTTACCAGTTTAAATTTAAGTATTCCATCCTATCTAGTAGTGTTTTTGTTATTATACGCCCACAAGCGTGTTAATTGTTGTTTTTATATCCCATCCTGATTCGTTATATCTATCTATCTATCTATGTATGTATTCATTGTATTACATAAGCTTAAAAATTTATTGTACAAGCTAACTCTTCTCTTAATTAAAATATTTGTATTTTTTTATCTTTCGTGTTTATGTCTCATCGACAAGTAGCAAAAAAAATATAGTCTCTATTGATTGTTCCAATGAAAAAAAACTGGTGGCTTTTATTGTTTCAAAATGAACACGTAACAATAAAATTCAATCTACCTCAACGAATACGTTTGTGTGTAATGTAGGTAGCTAGGCCGTATACAGGGTGTAAGTAAAGTACTGTGTACCGAAAACTTTTGACCGTAAAATAATCAGACCAAGAAAAACAAATTTCCCTGTCCCGGTAGAGAAAGCCAAGCCCTGCCACGTGTTAGTGTTCAAGATATACTTAATTCGCAGGCTAGGAGAGAACCGCGGTAGCCTAGTTGGAGGCGTCGGCAGTACAGTAGCTGGAAGACGCATGTTCAAATCCTGCCTGCGGTGGAAAACTATGCAAGTTTTCTAAAAATTGAATACCTGACAAGGAAAGTGTTTTGGTACTCGTGTGGGGTACACACATTTATGTATTTTATACGATACCGTCAAGATGTATTTCTGAAATAAGGATTTTACTTCGTAGGGTATATCATTTATGTTATTATATTCAACTACCCACAGCACCAATTTAGGTGTGGTGTACCCCACACTCGTATCTAATCTGAAATTTGCTCCTTTACCTAAGTTGCTCTGGCTATCTATCTTGCTGTGTTATACTAATTATAGTACGCAAGTACTTCGGTTTCCCATTTACGTAGTCAGGTGAAACCTTCCAAATTTCGAGTGAGCTAGGCTGACGTGAGTCCATTAAACGAAAGAGAGGCTCATTCTAATTCCCGTCGTCACTCAAGGCGCGTAAAAGGTGAAATTTCATTAGGGATCGAGTAACAAGGTTGCCCCAATTCCATACTTTACAGTCGTAGCTTTGTTGGGTTATACAATAGGTACATTTGTAGCTTCAACTGCAAGGTTTCCTATTTCATGAAGCAAGAACTCATTGTCTCTCCCGCTCACTCATGAACAATCCAAGATGTAAGGTTTCGATTTATTTCAGACTGTAATATTGATGCAGCAACATTTGTAGACTCGTAAGTGAAAGTGAAAGTGAAAATGTTTATTCAAAATAGGACATTAAAATATCACTTATTGATAGTCATTACATTACGCAGAAATTGATTAGACATTGTAAAAAAGAGAAATTTGCAAAGCACAATTTTCTCTTTTTTATAACAATTTTTTAGTCCTACTATAAACGCGGCTCGGGCGGGATAAAAAAATAAAAATAAAGGCACTGCCTCGGGGCTGGCCAGGCTAACCACACGGCATGTAACTTTATACCTTAACGACCAGTAAGCGAAACTAAATTCGATCAAGATTTTAAAAAGGTGTTACATGTGTATAGTTAGTCGGACCTCCTGAACAGGAAAACCCCCCAAAAACCTGCCCAGAAGTGCTCCTATTCTAAAGATTACAATTTTTGTAGGCCCTAAGCTACCCTAGCTAAGTTTGAAAAAAAACAAGAATAGTAATAGCCGAAAACGGCTCAACACAAAATTAAAAATAAGTGAAAATAAAATAAAAAATTACAGTAGAATATTCTAACTGTTTCGTCTTAAAAAAATACTGTATATAAACAAACATGTAAAACTACTCCCATGAAGATTTATCTTGCATATAATCGGGTATTTCATAATAGCCTTTCTTGCACAATTTATGTTTTATTACTTCTTTAAATTTATTTAAGGGTAATTCTTGGATATTTTTTGGAAGCTTATTATAAAAGCGTGTACAATTTCCCTTAAAGGATTTGCTTACTTTACTAAGCCTGCTCTTGTGTGCTACAAGTTTGTCCTTATTTCTAGTGTTGAAATTATGTATATCACAATTTTTCTCAAAAGTATTAATATTAGATTTGACGTAAATCAAATTTTCGTATATATATTGTGACACAAATGTTAATATATTGATTTCTTTAAATTTTTCCCTTAAGGAGACACGAGGCCCTAATTTATAAATTGCACGAACAGCCCGTTTCTGCAGAACAAAAATGTTCTTTACATCCGCAGCGTGGCCCCACAATAATAAGCCATAAGACATTAAGCTATGGAAGTAACTAAAGTAAACTAGTCTAGCAGTATCTACATCCGTGAGATATCTTATTTTTTTAACTGCGTATGCTGCTGAACTCAGTCTCTTCGACAATTTCTCAATATGTGGCCCCCATTGGAGCGTGGCGTCCAAAGTTATACCTAAAATACTGTTGAATCTGCAAGGTTCAACTGTTCATCCTTTACCTTAATAATTGTAGTGCTCGGTTTAACATTTGGCAATGCAAATTTTATACATTTAGTTTTCTTTTCATTTAATAGGAGATTATTTACTGTAAACCATTTTACTACATCGATTATAGTATTGTTCACGTCGTCATAGTCGAGTTGATGTCTCTTTACTTTAAAAAGCAATGAGGTATCGTCGGCGAACAATACTATATCATGTTTGTCTTTAACAAGATACGGTAGATCATTAATGTATACAAGAAACAGGAAAGGACCAAGAATCGAACCTTGTGGAACGCCCATGGTTAAATTAGATCCAGATGATCTTTCACCATTGATATCAACCTTTTGGATTCTATTAATCAGATATGATTCCAAAAGGCTAAGAGCCTGGTCCTTTACACCGTAATGACATAGCATTCTGACTAGAGTTTCATGATGGACACAATCAAATGCCTTGGACAAATCACAAAATACACCTATGGCGTCATGAGATTCCTCCCAGGCATCCATTATATGGTTGATGAGGTCAAGACCTGCATGAGTAGTAGAACGACCCCGTGTGAAACCAAATTGCTGTAAGTGCATTAGGTTATTACGATAAAAATGACCTTGCAATTGAATTAGGATAATTTTTTCAAAAATTTTACTGAGTGTGGGTAATATTGATATAGACGTAGATATAGACGTAGAGTGTGGGTGATATTGACGTAGATACAACATAGTTTTTGTCCTGCTTGCCGATATCAATCACAAAAAAATCGAAATCTTAAATTGTTAATTCATGATGAGTTAGCGTGCGTAGGACGGCCTCCGGCCAGATGGACCGATGACTTGAAAAAGGCGGCTGGTAGTGACTGGATTGCAAAACCGTGAGATCGTGCCTTATGGCGTTCCCTGGGGGAGGCCTCGTCTAGCAGTGGACTGCAATAGGCTGAAATAGAATAGAATAGCCTGAGAGCCTGTACCTACTATGAACAGCACATCAAAAATCTATTTCTTCAGGAATATAAAATACTATATTTCAACGTCAAATTAATCAGATTCACAAAGTGATGAATATCAACATTGTGAAGTGACCCACCGGGAATCGAACCCGGAACCTACTGCGTCGCAGGCAGTCGCAATACCACTGCACCACATCGGCTGTCGGCATCCTTTCCATAGAACGTGCAACGCGTCGAATTTCCAACTGAACGCGAAAACAACATCCTAAAACCGCCATCTCGCGTTCCCTGCTAACAAATCTAATTTGTCCGTCCATCCATCGACACGTTCGGCTTTTTGACAGAGGATTTTTGAAGCACTCTCCACTCCATCGGCTTTCACGCACGCTTGCCGAAGTTTTTCAGTGCATACGTGACTTTGCTGGCGTGTCAGCCGGTAGAAAACGAGAAATTCTGGCGATTTGATATACCGGGTGTTAAGGACAGTGTAAGTAGGTACCGAAAACTTTGCAGGCATGATCAGACCATGAAACTCATCAATTTTAACTACTTATAGAGCATAACATGTTGGGAATCGAGTTTAAACTAAATTGTATCGCTAACTATTAAAAATATCCTGAACGAAAACTGGAACATCATAGACCCTAAGAAATCTAAATTCATAGCAGCTTATATCTAAGGTACTAGCGAACCTAAGACAGTAACTGAGCACTAGAGAGTGCTTTTCAATCCCTTGAAACATCGTTTTATTAGAGATCGAAACTTTTATTCCTGTGATAGATTTTACATACATACAATGCACTACGAAGTAGGTATCTTGTAAGTAATGAACCGACATAAAAGCTCTTATCGTAGCCCACTAAGATAACTGAGACACATCGCAGTCTCCTATGCAACTCGCCACAAGCTTCAAAGTGTGATTTAGATTACAAGTTTATGCTCTCAACATACATCATCTTAACTACGAGACTCGCCGTATTTCAAAATGTCACAAGTCATTAAGGGACTGACCGTTTCTGGGCGGCGCAGTCGCCAGCGCAATATAGACTTTATTACATGGATTTAAGGGCATTTGACGAGTGGAATTTACATCTAAAATAGGAGATTTTACGGGTTTATCCCAAGTTGTAACTTATATAGGGTAGTGGTTAGAGTTACAAGAGGCAGAGACTAAAAAACGTCATTCGGACACCATTAATTACAACGAGACATCCACCTAAAGGTTACACACCACATAATTACGTGATATTTAGCCAGATCCGCTTTTTGACGAAAAGAGTATCCATCCAAGTCGCACATAAAAGCAAAAAGAACGGCACATGTCGCGATTTCAAATCGCGGCAGTCTCACGTTAGACGACCCGGTGTCCGTCACGAAAAGAATATGACAGGCTGTCATTTGTATGGACCGCATCTTGTGATGAACCGCAATATCGGTTGGAGCATTTGCGGTTTACTTCTGTCACTGAGGTCCATATAATATGTATGAGTAGCTATGACACATCCACAACTGCGGGAAAGCCTCCACTATGGTTGAGAAGACCTTTGCTGCATTCGCGGCCGTATGGCGCTCCTTTTCCCACTTGATGATAATGATAAACCCAAGTGAGAAAGGGAGCGCCATGCAGCGAATGTAGCGAGTGATCTTCTCGACTCTAATATCAAGGTACGAACTTCTGAGAAAAAATCTTTTAGAAAGAAAATGGTTTATTTCAATCAGTTTTACTTTCAATAACACTCTTTACAGTGAATACCCAATTTTAAAACACTTCTCGTGTTAGGTATACAATTTTTGGAAAACTCTTTACAGTTTCCATAGGCCTACCGCTCCTACTTTATCTCTACACCGCACCCCGACAAATGTACACGTCATTAAGTTGGTCACCGGACTCCTTCCCATAAATGCGGTATCAAACTGTTTTATTGCCAGCATGATTTAATGAAATCTTTAATATTGAAGATGGCAACCCCACCCACTATATCGTCGTAAATTGCCCCGGGAAATATCCCCGGCACAGTAGAGGTCAGTCTCAGTACATCACCAGCATGTTTACCTACCCATTTAAGGAACCAACTCATGCTGGTCTTTTAACACAAAAAAAACAAAAACAGTATAAGAATTTAGGTAGGTTTATATGCTGGCGATGTATAATAATGGTTTCGGTTGTTACAAAGCTTGGCGATCGAATAAGTTCAAGTATATTGGACAAATAAAAAATTGCCTA